TTTTTTTTTTTGGTACCGGGGATCGAACTCAGGACCTTGTGCTTGCGAGGCAGGCAGTGGAACCACTGAGCTAAATCCCTGGCCCTGGATCTTTTAAATTAATAGTGTATCTTGGAGTTCATCTCATATCGGTTCATAGAGCTTTCTGATTCTCATTTCTATTTCTTTAGAACTGATTAATATTACACTGAATAGGTACCTCATAATTTATTTAATCAATCTTCCACTGACAGACATTTGGCTTTTTTCCCCTGATGTTTTGCTATAAAAACAATACTACAGCGCAAATTAAAAAAATATTTTCTTTGAGAGAGGTTCTTCTTGCTTTGTAGTTCGGACTGGCTTTGAACTCATCACGTACTCCAGGCTGGCCTCAAACTCAGGGCGATCCTGCTGCCTCAACTCTGAGTGCTGGGATTACAGGCATATGTCACCATGCCTGGCGTTACAGTGCAAATTTATACATATATGTTTGTGTATGTTTAAGTATATGTATATACATAGGTAATTACTAAAAGGTGATTTGTTTAACCAGAGGAACTGTGCAGTTGTAATTTGCTAGTTATTACCAGGTTATTTTCTGAAGAGGTTAGTCAGTTTATACTTCCATTACCAGTGTATGGGGAGTAATTACTTTCCCAAAGGCATTTCAGCATAGTGGTGATCAGACATTTAATTGAAATCTGTGTGGTTTTAAATTTGTAAAATTTCTGCAAAACTTTTTATTTAAAGAAATATTATGCAAATTAATTTTAGATGTACAGAAAGTTGTAAGATAGTGTAGAGTTAGTTACCATATGTCCTTCAACTTGATTCCCCTAATAACACGTTATATAACCATGGAATGTTTATTAACATGAAATAATTCACATTTTATAATACCATTAAATATATTTAAGCTGGGTGTGGTGGTAGACGCCTGTAATCCCAGCAGTTGGGAGGCTGAGGCAGTAGGATCACTGTGAGTTGAAGGCCAGCTTGGTCTACATAGTGAGTTCAAGGCCAGCCTGAACTTACATAGTGAGACCCTGTCTCAACCCTGGCCCCTCAACCCCCCAAAAAATTTACGTTTTCCTTTTTTTTTTGAGGCAGGGTGTTGCTACATAGTGCTATCTGCCCTTCAAGTCACTGTGTAGCCTAGACAGGCCTTAAAGTTGTGGGGATCCTTCTGCCTCAGTCTCTTGAGTACTGGGAGGTATCAGGATTACAGAGGTGTCCCACCATGCCCGGTTTTTGGCTGTTTTTCTGTTCCAGGTTCTATATTGCATTTAGTATATTTTTTCAAAAAACATTGGAAACCTTTCTAGATACAGTTTTAATTTGTATTTCTTTTATGATTAATTAGTAAAGTTGGAAATTGCTTCATGTTTAAGAGCAGTTTGTACTGTTTTGTACTCTATGCTCATGTCCTTTTTCCATCTTTCTCTTAAGTTACTGTTTGTTTATTTATGGAAGCTGTTAATTTATTTTATTTTATTTTTTGGTACCGGAGATCGAACTCGGGACCTTGCACTTTCGAGGCAGGCACCAGAACCACTGAGCTAAATCCCCAGCCCTAGAAGCTGTTACTTTTGCCCTTTTTTTTTTTTGAGGCAGGGTCTCCTCCTGTAGTTCAGGCTGGCCCTGAACTATGTAGCCCAGGCTGGCCTTGAATTCTCAGTGATCCTCCTACCTCAGCCTCCCGAGTACTGGGATTACAGGCGTGTGCTACCACATGCTGCCCCTTCTTTGTAATGTGACATACAAACATTTTCCCCAGATTATCTTTTGTGCCTGATTTTTGAAAACATGTACGTGACCCTTTACAAATATTTATATATTTAAAAAAATTTTTTTTTTTTTTTGGTGCCAGGGATCAAACTCAGAACCTTGTGCTTGTGAGGCTGGAGGTGGAACCACTGAGCTAAATCCCCGGCCTCTATATTTTTAAAATGTATTTTAAATTTAATGTACCATAAGCATTTTGGCAGTTTAAAAAATTAATAGATGAACTACTGCAATTACATGTAACTAGAACTTTTTTCCGTTAAGTATTGGTATATTTTAGATATACAGTAGTTACATTCATCATTGGGATCTTGTCCCTTTACATGATGAATCTTGGTTCTTATTTTTTCCCCATTCCCCTGCCCTCCCTTCACCCCCTCCACCCTTCCCTGTTTACAAAGACTTAGTTTCCATTTTTTTTCCTTTTCTCATATTTTTTCTTTTCCCTTCTTTCCTTTCCCCTACCCCTCCCACTTTCTCTACTCCTTTAGACCTTTTCCTATTTCACAATATCAATTATACATTTTGATCCTTATTTACACTTTTAACTAGAACTATTTTATGTGAAATATATGTGTGTAGATTTATTGTGAGACTTCTAAGCATGGATTGTCCTTTTTCTGATTTAAAGCAATTTCAGTCAACATTTTCAATCCCTAGAGAACTACTAATTCAGTAAACTCATTTCCTGTTAAATATTTGGAAATTGTGGTTGTTTCTTTTGATGTGCTCAGATGTGAATAGGTAATTTTAAGTGCAGTGTGGAGTCCTTTCTTTCTCGAAGATCCATATCTTTACTGTATTGAGTAATGTTAAAGAAACACTATAGGTAAAAACCTAGAGTCTGAAACATTTGTCTGGGTCGTTCTCAAGGTCTAGTTTGGTCACTAGTAACATAGCTGAGAATTACTTGAAAAAATGCAGAATGGCTTTATTTGGCTGTCTTATCCTGTTGGACTTACTAAGTGGAAAAGTTAAGCTGATGGTATAATGATGGTGATTGGATTTTACCTCTCTCTGATGTTGGGGATTGAATGATGGGTGTCAAACGCTGAGCAGGCCCTCTACCATTGAGCTGCATCCCCTACCATTTTTTTCATATTATTTTGAGACAAGGTCTTTCTGAATTGTCCAGATTGGTCTCCAACTTGGGAATCTCTCTACCTCAGCCTCCCAAATAGCTGGGATTACAGGCATGTGCCACTGCCCTCAACTGAGTTTTAATTACATGAAACAACTCACCTTCAGATAGCCTTTTTAATTGCCTATTTTAAGAAGTCATCCTTTTTTCATTAACATTAGTTTTGTCTTTTTTGTATGTGGTATACTACCTTTTAAGGAGTTGTTAATTATGTAAAATTCAATTTTAATTTCTTAAAATTTAATCTTTTTTTTTTTTGGAGGTGGGATACTCCGTATATTCCCTAGGCTGGCTTTGAACTCTGATTTAAGCCCTCCTGCCTCAGCCTTCTGAGTGCTGGAACTAGAGTGTGTGTTACTGTACCTGGTTAACTTTAAACATGTTTGATACTTATAAACCTGTTTTCTGTAATCTTGTCGTCCATGCAGATTCTTCTCTACATTTTACAGAAACATTTAATATAAAGACACAAGATATGCACAAGTGCCTTGCCAGATGTCATATAGCACGTAACAGATTTTTTCAAATTTTACAGAGACAAGATTATGTTATCCAAAAATACCAGGAAAATGCACAGTAAGTTACAAGATAATTCCTTTCTTTTTTTTTGGTACTGGGGATCGAACTTGGGTCCTTGCGCTTGCGCAGCAGGCAGCAAAACCACTGAGCTAAATCCCTGGCCCTAATGCCTTTCTTTTTGAACAAATGTCATTAATGTAACTTCAGTAGAAATAATCTATGGCTACTTGAAAACAGTAGCTATCATGGTTGCATTTTAAAGTCAGATAACTTCTGAATAAATCTTTACAAGTTTAGGTATATTGTAACTGACAGTTCAGAGGAAATTAGTTCAAAAAGTTCAAAGTTTTATGTGCTTTTCCTTTTTTAGGAAATGTATTTTTTTTTGGTACTGGGGATCGAACTTGGGTCCTTCTGCTTGCGAGGCAGGCGGCAGAACCACTGAGCTAAATCCCCGGCCCTAGGAAATGTATTTTTAAGCTATAATTGTGATCATATTTTAATTTTTTTTTTTTTGGTACTGGGGATCAAACTCGGGTCCTTGCGCTTGCGCAGCAGGCGGTGAAACCACTGAGCTAAATCCCCAGCCCTGTGATCATATTTTGTATCCTTTTTGTCTTGAAATTTTATTCTGTAAATTTTTTGTATTACCATGGTATATTTTGTGTGTTGGGTAGATATTTAATTAAATACATATTTTTTTCAACTAGTTATTCCATACTTTAACCATTTAATTGTATTTTATATTTATACTCATCTCTTCAACCAAATTTTTTTTTTTGGAGATAGGGTTTTGCTGTGTATTTCAGGCTGGCCTTGAACTCACTGTGTATCCAGGCTGGAATATGGAGCAATCCTCCTGCCTCAGCCTCCAGAGTGTTGGGATTACCCAACATCATGAGTTAGGGATGTGCCACCATGCCCAGCTTAACAAATATTTTTTGGGAGTTCCTTTTGTGTGCCATGTATTGGTGTCACAGCATTAAATAAGAAAGGCAAGGTTAATATTGTTAAGGAATAGGCTGTGTCCAACTTTTTACAATGATAACAGTAACATAACTTTTTTAGTGTTTTTTTATGTTACTAAAGGTATAGAATCCTTTGAAATTACCTTAAAATTAAAATATTACTGGGCATGGTGGTGTATGCCTATGATCCCAGCACTCCAGAGACTGAGGTAGGAAGATTATGAATTTGAGGCCAACCTGGACCATGTAGTGAGACCCTGTTTCAAAAAGAAAAACAAACAAAAAAACCAAAACAACAGAACAGCTAAATTGAAATTTTTCTTACTTGTATTTATTTTTTTGTGGTTCTGAGGATTGAACACAAGACCTTTGCATGAAGCTACATTCCCAGCCCTTTAAAAATGTTTTACAATTTGAGAAAGGATGTCTCTAGTTGCTAAATTGCCCAGTCTGGGCTGGAACTTCCAGTCCTGCTGTCTCACCCTCCCAGAGTGTGGCATTACCATACTGTCCCCATAAGGCTTGAGCATATGTATGTAGAGGAAAAATGCCAAAGTGGGCGATATTAATTAGGTCACTGCACTGGAATTATAGTTGTATACATTCTCTTGTAGATTATCAATTAAGCAAGTCCGGAATTTGAGGTCAGAATGTATAGGACTGCAAAATCAAATAAAAAAGTAAGTGACTTTTACAGTTGGAATTTGTCTTAGATATTAGTTTAGCAAAATCTCAGAAGCATTAATTGAAATAATATGTAAATAGCTAGAGAGGACTAGAGCATAGTTCTGACTCCTAGTCCAGTTCTAGAGAAGTATTCTTGCTTTGAGCTTGAATCTTACTATTTTTTAACTGGTTTATTATTATTATTGGTTTTTTTTCCAGTATCTGGGATCAAACTCAGGACCTTTTGCTTGTGAGGCAGGCGCAGCGCCACTGAGCTAGATCCCCTGCCCTACTATTTTTTAATTGGAATGGCTATTAGGGAGTGGGTTTGCAGACCAGTTAGCTTTTTGTATATTAAATTACTATTTGATTTTCTATTGACTAATTAGATTATTTAATTTTTACTAGAATGGAGCCCTCTGATGACCAAAATAATATAAAAGAGAAAATTCAAAAGGTGAGATAATTTTGATGGGACAAATTTAACCTTTCTTTGTGATATATAGTGTTAACTTAATCAGTTGAACTTCATATTTATTTTATTTTCTTTTAAGAGATAGGTTCTTGCTATGGTGCTCAGGCTGGTGCTGAACTGGTGACGTCAAGCAGTCTTCCTGTCTCAGCCTCCCAAGTAGCTGGGACTATAGGCATGTGCTGGTGTGTCTAGCAGTTGGACTAAATTCTCTTGCCTTCTTTTTACTTTTTAAATTTCACTTGTTAATAGGTGCTATATAAAAAGATACCAATAGGTGCTTCTAAAACCCTTGAATATAATGGAATAAATCAGCTTATGATTTATATATGTGTGTATATATGTGTGTGTGTGTGTGTGTGTGTGTGTGTATTCCCCCCCCCCCCAAGACATCATCTTGCTATGTAGTTTAGACTGGCCTTGAGCTCACTGTGCACAGCGGTCTACAGTCCACAACGGTCTACAGTCCTCCGCTATACCAGCTGAGATATGAAAGGGTGCACTTGAGCTCCCTATATAGCTCAGGATGGCCTTGAACTCGTGGTGATCTTCCTGCTTTAGTCTCCTAAGTGCTGGAATTATGGGCATGCACTACTACACCTGGCCAGTTTTAAATATAGTTTCAAGTCCTTTATTCCATCAAGAAAAGTTCTGCTTGATTGCAATTTATTGGGTTTTTTTTGGTACCAGGGATCGAACTCGGGTCCTTCCACTTGCGGGACAGGCGGTGGAACCACTGAGCTAAATCCCCGGCCCCTGCTTGATTGTAATTTAATCCATGATATTAATTTATCTAAATAAAATATATTAACTAAAGGGGGATAGTAAATATGGCAGGAAAATGAGAAGCCAAATTGAGCTGCATTGTCAGGAGGGAGGAATCGGGTAAATGTAAATGATCTGAGGCATTTAGAGGCTGGCTTTGATGTGGGAAGAAAGAGTTGTTTTAAACTTTATTTTTGAGTACACAAAATCCCTCTCAAGCTCCTTGTGGTTCTCCGATTTCCAAACTGCTTTGGTATTAACTTGGCGCTTGAGACTGGGAAGCTGAGTGCTGTCTTGAGGAAAGCTTCCCTCAGAGAATGTGTACTGGTTGGCTGCAGTGTGCCGGTGACGGTGAAGACAACAGACAAAGTCACCTCTCATGGCGCTTTCTTGGTAGCGCGTAGGACATTCCTGTTAGTGAACACAGTATCTCTGATTGTCAGTTTAATAGGTTGGTGTGAAACCTATTAAAGTTTCTACATCCTTCTTTCCCGAATGTGGTTAATACTCATTTTCCCTGAGTCTGTTCTTCTTTGAGCCAGTGACACGACAAAATTCAAGATTTTAGAGTTTGAGAACCAGACCCTGGATGGTTATAAATTCATCAGGGAACACCATCCTGTGAGACCACCACACTGCCAGCTGAGTTGTTTTAGGAAAACCTTTACCTTGCCATGCAACACTATTCTTTTGTTTTGTTTTGGTATCGGGGATTGAATTTAGGACCTTGTACTTGTGAGGCAGGCGCAGTGCCACTGAGCTAAATCCCTGGCCCTACTCTTTTTCTTTTTCTTTTTGGTTTTCTGAGACAGGGTCTTGCTATGTAACCCAGGCTGGTCTCAAACTTATTCTCTTTCTGCTTCAGCAGTGTGCCACCATGACCTGTTTCATGGTATAGGGGATTAAACCCAGGGCCTTCACCCTGAGCTATATCTCCCGCACTTTAAAAAATTTTATTTTGATGGACTGATTTTTTATTTTGTTTTTGTTTTTTTTTGCAATACTGGGGATTGAAGTTAGGGCATTTTCACTGTATCTCCAGCCCTTATTTTTTTATTTTAGGACAGGGTTTCACTAAGTCACTAAGTAGCCCAAGCTGAGCTTGAACTTGTCCTCCTGCCTCAGCTTCCCAGAGAGCTGGGATTGATTATAGGTGAACACTATGGTGGCTAGTCATGTACCACTTTTTTTTTTTTGGTACCAGGGATCGAACTCGGGTCCTTGCGCTTGCAAGGCAAGCGACGGACTCACTGAGCTAAATCCCCAGCCCTGTACCACTTTAATTGGAGATGTTCAGTATCTTATTTATGTCATAGGAAGACATAAACACATGGGAGTAATTATATTTTACCATCCCCTCCCCATTTCTGTGAATTCTTTTGAAACATACATACAAAAAAAATGTGCAAATCATAAGTACATAGCCTGACATTTTCACAAAGTGAACACATCCATGTAAACAGTACCCCATTTCAGAAATAGAACATTATCAGTATCTCAGAATCTTTGTCATGCCACTTCATTTACTTTACTTTCCCCAAAGGGTAAGCATTAAGCGCACTTATGCCATGGATTAGTTCTGCTTGTTTTTTCAACTTTATATAAATAGAAGTTAATAGAATGTCTTCTTTGTGTGACTTTGACTCAGTGGTATTTGTGATATTTATCCATGCTGTCGTGTGTAGTTTTAGCATGTTCATTCTCATTGCTGTGTAGTGTTCGATTTTATAAATGTAGTAAAAAATAACCTTAGGGCCGGCGATGTAGCTCAGTGGCGCTGCACCTGGCTGGCAAGCACAAGGCCCTGAGTTTGATCTCTAGTACCGAGAAAAAAAAAAGCCAAAAGAAAAATAGCCTTTGTATTTGTGTATTTGTATGTGTGTGTGTTGCCTTTGTACTGGAAATTGAACTCAGGGTCTTTGCACTGAGTTATAAGCCCAGCCCTTTTTTTCTGTTTTGAGATAAAATCTTTCCAAGTCACTAATTTGTCCAGGACTTGGACTTGCCATCCTCCTGCAGCATCCCCGATTGCTGGGATTATAGGCATGTTCTACTATACCTGGCCTTAGTTGTAATTGATGCGTAATAATTATTGCTATTTATAGGGTATAATATATTTTGATCTCTATACTTTATAGAATGATTCAGTCAGGCTAATTAACATATCCACAAATCATTAATTTATTGTTTTTTGTGATGAGAGTGTTAAAAATGTGTTTTAGCAGTTTTGACATATGCAAAACATATATTAATAACTGACCTGGCCAGTATACAGCACAACAAATCATTGACAGGTTTATTCCTCCAGTCTAACTGGAAGTTTGATCAATTTCCTTCTGTGAATATTTTTGTACATGAATTTTAGTGGACATATGTTACTTTATGCCGAAGATGTTTGGAGGAGGTGGTACTGGTTATTGAACCCAGGGCCTTCACACTAGCTATATCCCCAGACCTTTCATTTTGGGACAGGGTTTTGCTAAGTTGAAGAGTTGCTGAAGCTGGAATTGAATTTGCCATTCTCCTGTCCCAGTTTCCTGGAATGGTGGGATTACATGTGTGCCCCCACCACTTGATGAATTTTTGCTCTTAAAGAATCTTGCTTGGGGGGCCGGGGATTTAGCTCAGTGGTTCCACCGCCTGGCGCCTGCCTTCCAAGTGCAAGGTCCCGAGTTCTAGCCCCAGTACCCCCTCTAAAAAAGAATCTTGTTTGTTTATCTGTTAACTCTTATGCTTGAGGGACTTAAAATTAATGTGTAGTAGTTTTCTTCTTCTTGACAATCTTTTTTTATTAGTTCTTCCTGAAAAATCTTCATTAGATTGGTTGCATGTCAAAGTACAAAAAATGATAATCGTATCTTGGTAATATAAAGATTTCTTAGATTTGTTTGAAAATTATAGTGAGCTAGAGTCTCCTAAGAAATTTCTTAGTTTTCAAATCCCTTTGGAAGTAATATCAGTGTTTTTAATGCAACTGTTTCTTTTCTTTTCTTTTTTTTTTGGTACAGGGGATTGAACTCGGGACCTTGCGCCTGCACAGCAGGCGCCGGAACCACTGAGCTAAATCCTCGGCTCCAATATCAGTGTTTTCAAACTATAGTTATTTAATGTTCTCATCAGAAATCAGCCCAGGAATATTTTATTTGTTCCTAGGATTGAGAAAATATTTATGCTGGTATTTCTTTAATATAAGTAAAGATTATGGAGTTTTACATTTTGTTTTTTTTTTGTTTTCAAAGGTTCGATCTTTGTGGGCCTTAGTAAATGAAACACTCACATTTTTGGAAAAAGAGAGAGATGTTATTAATTCAGTTCTTAGTCTTGTTAACCAATATGAATTAGATGGAACTAAGGTTGTTATTAATATTCCAAGTCTCTTACTTGACAATATCAAGAAACAGATGTGTCAGGTAAGTATTTGATACTAAGGAAACTTTTGTGAAAACCATAATTATTTTATACATTATTTATTTTCTCCTCCATATTTTTCTACTGCTTTTAAAATTAACTTTTTGAGTGTGCTTAGTAAAATCTTTATAAAAGGGGTACTGTTAAAGGAGTGTATATTTATATCCATCCGCTTTTATTATTTGTCCATACCTTGTGTGGGCCTACGTCATACTGTGGAGAGTACAAATGCGTTAGTAGGAAGAGAACAGAAATGACTCATTGCTAAATGTCCTTTAAGAACTTTCCATCTCTGGCTTCTCTCTTATTTTGATCCTGTTAAGAATTTCTCTTAAAGACTTTTCTTCCTTTACCTTTGTGATGTCAGTGTCTTTTTTTTTCTGTGGTTTTTCAGACTAATTTCATTTTTTTCTGCTGATTTCTTTAATGCTCAGTTTTGTTTTTTTTTTGCTCACTACAAGTTAACTAATTAATTAATTTTTGTGGTACTGGGGATTGAACCCAGTGCCTTCTCACAGAGCTATATCCCCAGCCCTATTTGTTTGTTTATTTATTTATTTATTTTTGAGACTGGGTCTTGCTAAGTCACTAAGTTGTCCAGGTTTGTTCAAACTTACGATCCTTCTGCCTCAGCCTCCCAAAGTATTGGGATTATAGACATGTACCACCATGCTTGGTTTATGTATTTTTTTTTTTTCTTTTACCAATTCCGTGGCTTCAGTGCTTCCTCTACAGTAGTATTATCAGTCTTTCCCCTTTAACCCAAACTTCATTTACTTATTTCCATTCTGTTTGTTTGGTTTTTTTTTTTGGTACCGGGGATTGAACTTGGGTCCTTGCTCTTGCGAGGCAGGCGGCGGAACTACTGAGCTAAATCCCCAGCCCCTTATTTCCATTCTGTATGAGACATTTCCACTTGGGTAGCAAACTGTTTTCTCGTTAGTAAGCACATTTAGCATCTGATTAGAATATAGCTATTGCAAAGATAAACTGTTGTGGGCCGGCGATTTAGCTCAGTGGTTCTGCCGCCTGCTCTGCAAGCGCAAGGACCCGAGTTTGATCCCCAGTACCAAAAAAAAAAGTATTGACAGCTAATTCAAGTGATTTTATTTTGGTTTTTTTTTGGTTTTTTTTTTGGTACCGGGGACCAAAATTGGGTCCTTGCGTTTGAGAAGCAGGCGGCAAAACCACTGAGCTAAATCCCCAGCCCTTCAAGTGATTTTAAAACATTGGAACTGTGCGGGCCAAATAAACATGTCGTAGTTTTTAGGGGTCATTGATAACACAGCTTTTTTAAAAGAATTTATGGGCCAGTGATTTAGTGCGGTGGTTCTGGTGCCTGCCGCATAAGCTCAAGGTCCCAAGTTTGATCCCCAGGACCAAAAAAAAAAAAAAAAATTTATAATCTTTTCTCTAAACCTACTCTTTCACCTAAATCTTTATTTTTTTATGGTTTTTTTTGGTCCTGGGGATTGAACTCGGGACCTTGCGCTTATTTTTTATGTTTGATATTAAAGAAACTTTGTGAAAACTCCATGTAATTATTTTTATATATTATGTATTGTTTTTATCAACTATTTTTCTTTTATTCTAGTCTTTAACCTTTTGCATGACTTGTTAATTCTTCCACAGTAGTTTTCACTGGGTTGGAATTATATAGTTTTATGTTTGGGTGGTATTTACTTCTTTCTTTCTTTGGAATTTGTATATAATAGTAAAAAAGTATAAATATATTTTGTAATAGTTTATTCTCTTAAGATTCTATAGTTCTCTACTTTTTTCCCCCTCTGAATCTTTAGTTGCACATAGGAAATGTTTATGAGGCTGGAAAATTGAACCTTTTAACAGTTATTCAGTTGTTAAATGAAGTCCTGAAAGTAATGAAATATGAACGTTGTCAGGCTGACCAAGCAAGATTTACAATAGATCGTCACTACCTTGAAAAAGAGACCAAATTTCAGAGGGAAAGATTATCAGATCTGAAGCGTATGAGGTACACTAGAAAGATTTTCTGTTATTTTACTGCGGGAGGAGTAGGGTGATTTTCTCAGTAAATCTCCTGTATAGTTAACAACTCTTTTGCTTTGTCAAACAAGTGTGAAAATTTTACTAGTATTCAAAACCTTACGTGATGAGAGACATGAGGTAGAAAGGAAAAATAATAGTTTTTTGTTTATCTGGAATAAGTTGCTTTGAGTGATAATTCTTCATTTTTATATTTTGTAATAGTTTGGTAGTACAAGGGTTTGAACTTAGCGTGTTTGCACTGAGCTACATCTCCAGCCCTTTTTTATTTTTATTTTTATTAGTACATGATGATTACGTTCATTGTGGGGAGTTAGTACATGTACATAACACATTTTAGTTTTTACTTCCCTGTCCCTTACTTCCCTCCCATTTATTTATTATTTTGAGACAGGATTTTGCTAAGTTGCCAGGCTATCTTAAACTTGCAATCCTTTTGCCTTAGACCCCCAAACAGCTGGAATTACAAGCACAAAGTACTGTGTCCAGCTGTGAAATAATTTAAACTTTTTTCTAGCCTATCTTTTGTTACATTTAATAATAAAAGTGAGCCTCAGAAGTTTTTTATTTTAGCTGAAAGAGTGGGAGTTAATGGGCTCCTTTTAGGAATAGGCAGATAGTAGAAGAATTTCTAACTGACATTTACAGCTGCAGGGGGGAATGTATTTTAAAAATATATGGTGTTGGGCTGGGGATTTAGCTCAGTGGTTCTGCTGCCTGCCTCACAAGCACAAGGTCCCGAGTTTAATCCCTGGTACCAAAAAAAAAATGTGGTATAAAAATATATGGTGTAGGGCTGGGAATTTAGCTCAGTGCCACCGTGCCTGCATGGCAAGCACAAGGTCCTGAATTGGATTACTGGTACTGAAAATAATTAAATCTATATGGTGTAATAAATGTATAATTGCTTTCTAGTTTTAAAAGAAGAAGGCTGGGGATTTAGTTTAGTGGTGCCGTGCTGGCTTTGCAAGCACAAGGTCCTGAGTTCAATCCCCCTACTAGGAAAAAAAAAAAGGAAGAAAAGGTATTTTAGGTTCTGAATAGTCACTTGTGAGAGTTTATTCATTTTATATGTACCTTAGTGGTTGAGCTTTCGGTTATATTTCCTTCTCCTTTCTTACTGCTATTGTTACTTTCTTAAATTTTGCTCCATGCTTTTTTGTGTATTCATGTTTTGAATGAAATTACTTTTTATGCTACCATAGGTGTAAAATAAAAGAAGATCTCACAACTATACAACATTCTGTTGTTGAAAAGCAAAGAGAATGGCATAAGAAATGGAAAGAATTTCTTGGTGTGTCTCCCTTCAGTCTCTTTAAAGGTTGGACTCCAGTAAGTAATATTGACTTGCCTTTTGGAGAGCAGTTTAATTTTGTCAGTCTTGATTTACCATGTTACCAGTGACCTAGAAATGCTATGAATACACGTGTTTATCATCTTTGCATTTCTATCCAAAGTTCAGTTGTTTTGGTTTTGTAATTTTTCTAAATATGCAATAGAATTTTCATGTGTTGCTGTTGCCGTTTTGTGTATGTGTGTGTGTGTGTGTGTGTGTGTGTGTGTGTGCAGGTGTACATGTGCATGTATGCATGTATAAAGTCAGTCACATTTCACAGTGGGGTATAGTTAATATATTTAAATTCAGAGGGTTATATTGAAAAGATTTTAGTGTCTTTTGGTGGTTTGGGTTGTTTTTTAGAGACAGACTTGCTGTATAGTCTGTGCCAGCCTTGAACTTGTTATGTAGCCCAGGCTGGCCTTGAATTTACTGTTTCTCCTGTCTCACCCTCCAGAGTGCTAGGATTATAGGCATGTGCTACCACTCCAGTTGAGACTTCCCTCTTGATGTGAGAAACTACAAAATTTGAGACAAAGTTGGAGAACAAAGTAAACACCTTGTTTTTAATATTGTACTCTGGTTTAAAAATAGTTACAGGATGTATGCGTGGTAATTCTTAGGAGAAAATTTGCAAAAAAGATCCATTTATGGATTAATTTAGCATTGTTATTGTACTGAGTGTTTATTCAAATTGTGAAATCTATTTTAAGGCTGTGGATCTTTTACCGCCTATGTGCCCCCTTTCATTTGATCCTGTCTCGGAGGAAGTATATACAAGGAGTGTTCTTTCTCAATATCCTGCTTCACTTCCAGGTTGGTTATTTATCTTTTTCTTTGTTTTTTTTGGTACCGGGGATCAAATTCAGGTCCTTGTGCTTGCGGTACAGCGGTGGAACCACCGAGCTAAATCCTTGACCCTTATCTTTTTCTTTTTAAAACCTTCCTCTTTTCATTATTTCCCCCCCCTTTTTTTTTTTTGGTACCAGGGATTGAACTCGGGACCTTGTGCTTGCGAGGTATTTCTCATTATTATAATAGTTATTTTTATTTGTTTTTTTCTCTCAATTTTTATTGTGGTGAAATCGACATAGCATATAGTCACCATTTCAGTCATCAAAAAGTATACCACAGAGTAGCATTTAGTAAATTCATGGTGTTGTGCACTTATCACCCTTGTCCAGTCCCAGAACATTTTCATAATCTCAAAGGGAAGTTGAGAAAACCTCTAGTCTGGGATTATAGCTCCGTGGTAGACCACTTGCCTACCATGCCTAAGGACCTTGGTTCAATCCTCAGTACTACCAGAAAGGAAAACAAAAACAAAAAAAGAAAACCCTTCCCTTCTTTATCTGTATAGTAATCCTTGTTTTTATTGAGATAATATTATTTAAAAAATTTATTTTCTGTGATGCTGAGTAGTCACTTATTTCATCGTCTCCATCCCTGGCAGCCTGAATATGAGGTCTGATCAAAGAATATGATGTGTGTTTACATGAAAAAAGTTACTACCATACATTTCCATTAGTCCCCCTCGAGACTCCCCTCACTTTGAACACATTTATCTCATTGTTCTTGCCACTTTCTGAACCAGTTTGAGTCCTACAGTGTCTTTAGTTGTGCTGTCACAGATACCTTAATGTCCTGAATCAATTAAAATATCCACCCATCACAGTCACTGTGACTTTTGGGAAGAGCCACAGTCATAGGTGCCAGATGCAGTGGATGAGGTCAGTGAGGACACTGCGTGCAGTTGTATGAGCCCGACTTTCTGAGGGATGGCACTCAGCAGCAGCATTCACTGTATTTATGATCATACCTTATAAAGACATGAGAGAGGACTTTGAGAACTCCTTCAGTAAGTGGCAAGAATGATGGGATAAGTGTTCGAAGTGAGGAGAGGGAGTAGTTTGAGGGAGGTTCAGGGAAATGTGTTGTTTACTGTAATAGCTTTTTATTTTTTATTTATTTATTTATTTATTTTAAATGGTTCTAGTATTTTTTTGTTTTTCTTTGGTACCGGGGATCGAACTTGGGACCTTGCGCTTGCAAGACAGGCACCGGAACCACTGAGCTAAATCCCTGGCCCAACTGTAATAGCTTTTTAAAAATTTAAACATTCACCATATTTTTTATCACCCCTTCTATATTTTTTGCCTATAGGAATTTGCCTCTTTTACATGTTTCATCCAATTGAAATTTTGCAATATAACTTTTGTATCTGGCTCATTTGCTTGCCCAGTTTTTCATTTTATCCATCATGTTTTCAGGGTTTAGCCATGTTGATGAATGTATATATCTGCCCCCATTTCTTTTTTGTTGTTGTTTTGTTTTGTTTTGGTTCTGGGTATTGAACTCAGGTCCTTGTGCTTGTGCAGCAGGTGGTGAAACCACTGAGCTAAATCCCCGGCCCTGTTGTTTTTTGAGATGGAAGGGGTCTTGCTGTGGTGCCCAGGTAGATCTCAATCTCCTGGGCTCAAGTGAGCCTCCTGCTTCAGCTTCTGAAGTAGACAAATTTTTTTTTTTTTTTGATTGTTTGTTTTTTTGAGGCAGGGTCTGACTTTGTAGTTCCGGCTGGTCCTGAACTCACTATGTTAGCCCAGTCTGGCCTTGAACTGGTGGAGATCCTCCTGCCTCAGCCTCCTGAGTGCTGGGATTATAGGCTTGCCGATTCAGTTTCTGTCACTTCTTTTTTTTGAGACATGGTCTTGCTATGCAGTTCAGGCTGGCCTTGAACTCACTGTGGAGACTAGGCTGGCCTTGGACTTGAAGCTATCCTCCTGCCTCTGTCTCTTGGGGGCTGGGATTACAGGTGTGTGCCACCACACCAGGCACTTGTTTGGAATTTGTACATGCCTTTTTATTCTGAAGGCTCATATCTTTAGTTATAGAACGTTATTTTTATTTATTTATTTATTTATTTATTTTTTGGTACCGGGGATCGAACTCGGGACCTTGGGCTTGCGAGGCAGGCATTGGACTTGAAGCTATCCTCCTGCCTCTGTCTCTTGGGGGCTGGGATTACAGGTGTGTGCCACCACACCAGGCACTTGTTTGGAATTTGTACATGCCTTTTTATTCTGAAGGCTCATATCTTTAGTTATAGAACGTTATTTTTATTTATTTATTTATTTATTTTTTGGTACCGGGGATCGAACTCGGGACCTTGGGCTTGCGAGGCAGGCAGCAGAACCACTGAGCTAAATCCCTGGCCCTATAGAATGTTATTTAGTAGTACCTTTTGTAATATTGCTTGTCTCATTCTTTTTTTTGTTTGTTTGTTTTGTTTTGTTATGTTTTGTTTTTTGTGCCCAGGGATTGAACTCGGGACCTTGCGCTTTTGAGCCAGGCACCGGAACCACTGAGCTAAATCCCTGGGCCACTTGTCTCATTCTTAACGATTTTTTTCCTTTTAGAACTTCAGTTGGGGCAACTCATTTGGGACCCTTCTTGTCTCTTAGGAGCTATTCTTATCCCATGTTCCTATACCTCAATAAATTTTCCTACTCTTAAAAAGAACTTCTATTGCTAGGACTTTTAATTTTGTCTTTCACATTTTTTTTTTTTGGTACTGAGGATCCAACTTGGGTCCTTGCGCTTGTTTGTGGGGCAGGCGGTGGAACCACTGAGCTAAATCGCTGGCCCCACATTTCTTAACTTCTCATTTTTATTTACATTTTTGTATCTCTGGGCTTCATCGTGGGTATTTTTCTTAGATCAATAATCTGTCTGTCTGTCTCTTTACTGGGGATTGAACCTAGGGCCTTGAGTATGTTAGTAGGCAAGTGCTCTACCACTGAGCTATTCCTGCAGCCCATTTCTAAACCCCCATATATGTGTGTGCGCGCGTGCGTGTGTGTGTTAGTGGGGATTGAACCAGGAACACTGTATCACAGAGCTCTCTCCCCTAGTCCATTTTAAAAAATAAAATTATTTATTTATTTATTTATTTTTACCTGGTACTGAGGCGTGAACCCAGGGGTGCCCTTGTGTTTTGTATCTGAGAAAGGGTCTCGGTAAGTTGCCCAGGCAGGCTAGCGTGGGAATCCTGACCTCCTGTCTGCTCACCGTGCTGGGATTCCTGTCCTGTGGACCGTGCCAGCTCCCTTTTTTGTGGCTTTTAAAAGATTACCTGTCCTTTTTCACAGTGTTGTTTTCTTTCATTGGTTTTTTTTTCCTTCTTGGCTAGTCATTTTAAATTTGCTAATTTTGAAGCTTTTCTAATTTGCATCACAGTTGTTTCTGTTGCTGTGTGCTCTGCTTAACACTGCTGGTTGTTTGCTTCTAGTTGAAGCTCTGGATTGATATCTCAACTTCCGTGGGTTCTGCACTTTTGGAGGGACCTTGTGGGGCTCGCTTGTAAAATGGTCTCTATGTAGTTCCTTGGGTCCTAGGCGTATCCTCTGCATTAGGGCAGTTAATGTCTTGGTGTAGGATTGTTTTTTTTTTATTTTTTTATTTTTTTAATTTATTTTTAATTTATTTTGTTTTTGGTGTAGGATTCTTGTAACAAGAAACCAATATAATTTTGGATTTTATACCTTCTTTTGAGAAGGCTGGGTTTTAAATTTCTTCCTCTTCCTTTTTTTTACCCATGTAAATAGCAAACTTCTTTGGTACTTCCTTGATTCAGTTGGAAGAATTTGTTACTTACTTTTTTTTGTTTTTGTTTTTGTTTTTTGGTACCGGGGATTGAATTCTGGACCTTGGGCTTGTAAGGTAGGCAGTGCAACCACTGAGCCAAATCCCTGGCCCCTACTTTTTGTTTTGGAGACAAGGTCTTGATAAGTTGCTGAGGCTGGGCTCCAACTTGGTGATTCTCCTGCCTCAGCCTCCCTGGGATTACAAGTGTGTACCACTATGCCTGACAAGTTGGCAAAATATTTGTAATACCTTTTTCAGAGTTGGAGCAGTCCTTGCAGTATCCTGGCCAGTGACAGTCTCGTTTCAGTTGTGGATCCCAGCCGTGTTAGCCACGTGGGGAGTTTCCCGGCTGGGAGCCTTCCTGCTGTGTCAGATTTGGTTTTCATTTTGGGCTCACCATTCAGATGAAGTTTTCTGTCTTTGATTCTGGCTTCTGATGGTTTTTATTTGTTCTTTTGACCATTCCTTTCTTTTTCTTATATTTTATTTAGCAGTTCTGGTGTGTTTATGGTAGGAGTTAGTGTCTGTTTTTGTTGGGTTTGCTGTGTTGTGCATTTAGCTTCATTTTTATCTTTCAGGTGCCTTGCTTTGTTTGTCTTCTCCTGTTTTCTTACCCTGGTGTCTCATTTCTTATCTGAAATTGTTTTCTATGACTCTCAGTGGTCTTTCTGTAATATAAGTATCCCCTTACATTTTCTGACACAGAACACATTAACACTTTCTATCAAGTGAAAAAAAGATGTTTGCATTTTTTTTCACAACCAGGGAATGAACCCAAACCCTCTGCACATAGCTATGTCCCCAGCCCTTTTTATTTATTTTATTTTATTCTTTTTTGAGTCAGGGTCTTGCTATGTAGTACAGGCTGGCCTTGAACTCACTGTGTAGCTCAGGCAAGCCTTGAACTCCCTGCAATCCTCCTGCCTCAGCCTCCCTGTAAGCTGGACTTACAGGGATGAGCCACCATGCCCGACTCCTCCCCACTCCTTTTTAAAAAGGAGTCTCACTAAGTCATTACATTGCCCAGGCTAGGTTCCAAATTGTAGTCCTCCTGACTTATCCTCACAGAGTTCTGGGATCACAGAGTTCTACCCCCAGCTTCACTTACCAGCTTACACATTTTTTTCATAGCAGAATGAGCCATGTTTCAATTTTGACTGCCTACCAACAACATATAGTGTTTATAGTTCTGTGTAATACTTTTTGTTTGTGATTTTCTACTAGTTTTGTGGTAGAGTTGTTTGTGTTTGTGTTTTTGTTTTTGTTTTTTTTGGCAGTGGTGGTGGTACTGGAGATTGAACCCAGGAATCTAGGCAAGTACTCTACCATTGAGATACATCTCCAAGCCCTTTTGGTATGTTTTATAAACATTAGTAAATTCCATTATAATCAGTAGATTCAAAAGTTGTTGAGAATGCTATGAGGTGGCATAATCTTAGGACCGATTAAGAGGAAAACCCTACATTGGTTCTTTTTTTTATGTTCTCTTGTAAAATTTTATTTTGTTTTGGCTATATCCAGAAATCTTTTCCTACATTTCTTCTTACACTGTGATACAGTGGTACTTCAGTTCACGAACTTAATTCTTTCCACAAGTCTGGTTGCATTTGTATAATATGGAACCAGAATCATGGAATGAATTTTGTGACCAGAATCATGGAAAGAATTAAGTTTGTGAATCGAGGCATTGCTGTACTTTGTACAATACACATGTAGAAATAGAGAAACCCTTTCAGAAGCTAACATGGTGAAAGAGGAGTCGTCCCTGGAATCAAATCTTATGTAACAGCTGGGGATGTAGCTCAGTGATGCCATACCTGCCTCACAAGCTCAAGGTCCTGAGTTTGATCCTTGGTACCGGGAAAAAAAAAAATCTTCTCTAACATAGTCATGGATTTCATCGCCAGTCTGATTTCCTGCCATGCTCCATGGTGTATATCTCTTAACTCACTGCTCCATTGTACAAAACTTGTATCTTATTCTCAGTACTTTTCTGCTTTTTTTCCCACTGTCCTTCCTTGCATTTTTGGTTTACTCCTGTCATACTGTAGCAGAATAACATAACATTTTACTCATCGTTGTCTAGATGGACTCTTTGGAAGAAGAGTCTCCATCTTTTATTTTTTTCTCCCATTGTTAGTACAGTAGTGACATAATTGTTCAGTGATAGGATGATGAAAAATATTTATAGGTTAATTGTTATAAAATCTGTCCTGAAATATGCAAAGTACTATAACTTTTTGACCTTTTCTTACATATGATCTGTGCATTTAAACATGAAGCATATAGTTATATAACACTGGAGAATATAACTATGGAAGTCTAGTGTGAGTTACCAGTCTTTTAAGTCTTTTTTTGTTTTTCCCTTTTGTGGTGCTGGGTGTCAAACTCAGGGTCTTGCATGTGTATTAGTCTTTATAAATCCTACTAATAGATATTTTGTATTACTTTACATTTTATCCTAATAGTCGGATAATTATCTTTGTGAGTGTGTGGTACTGGGGATTGAGCCCAGGGCCTCGTGCTAGGGAAGTACTCCACCACTGAGCTACACCCCTACCCCTTTAAAAAAATGTTTATCATGAGACAAGACCTCACTGATCTGCCCAGGCTTGCCTTGAACCTGTAATCTTCCTGCTTCAGCCTCCTGAGTAGCTGGATTACAGGGGTGGACCACTCTGTCTACACTATCTTTTCTTATTGTGTTATTTTTCTGTTATTCTTCTGTTGAGAAGTTGTTCTAGGCCTTGGGTGTAGCTTAGTGATAGATTACCTAGCATGTGCAAAGCCCTGGGTTTAAACCCTAACACTGCCAAAAAAAAGTTCTACAATGTCAAGAGATCCTTGAATATCGGAGTGTTGGAATATATAAGCATAATTAAAGAATAATTTTTATGCTTCTTTAGAAATAGCTAAACAGCATAAACAAGAAAATGGTTGCCGTGGAGGCACTGGTACCCTGGGAGCTATGTGTGATACAGCCAACAGGTAAAATAAGTTTGTTTTTCGTTTTGATTTCCTGTATTAATTTTAGTCCCAGTTTAAGCCAGTTTCTAAGCTTCTTTACGGTGGAATAATGCATACTCTCCTGTCCCCCAGCTAGACAGTATTTTTCTACTTCAGGCCTAGATTTTCACATAAGACTTAACTTTATGATATATGAACATTTTTTCCCTTCTCTTTAAACACGGAGGTTCATGGGGAGTATCTGAATTTTGAAGAAAAAATATATGGGAATTATCTAAGGTAAGTTGGGGAATTTTGCCATTGTATATGTTTGAACTTTTTTGAAATCACTCTGTTGCCTTAAATAAGAGTTTGGGAGGCTGTGAGATCAGCTAGTCTGGTAGTTTTCAGACCATTCTTCTGTGCCCTGTGGTGCTGTGGCTGAATCTACTCCGGCCTTTGGTTGAGCCAGTGCTTTCCACTTCAGTCTGAGCAACTTGTTCTTTTTGGTACCGGGGATCAAACTCAGGACCTTGTGCTTAAGAGGGAGGTGCAGTGTGGCTGAGCTAAATCCCCAGCCCCACAAGTTGTTCTTTTATCTTTATTATCTATTGATGTTTTTGATAAGCCATTTGATAAAGAACCTTGTTAAAAATTAAAAGACTTATGACTAAGTCCAAAATTTAACGTAGAAAAATCTGAGGCTATTTTGTTTCAACTTCTTTCAGGAGTATTTCTATTTTCTTTGTTGCCTGTTTTATCTATTGTCATTTTGGCACTTAAAACTAATGCCAAGTCATAGAAGCGAAACATCTCCAAATTAAATGTATTTAATCCACTTGGGCAATATATTTATTCTTTATGGACATTAAACATTATAACGTAGCAATCAAACACATACTAAATAGATCCCTTTGTTTTATTTTGTTTATTTTTGAGTATTTTTGAGTCAGGGTCTCACTGTGTAGCTCAGGCTAGCCTCGAACTCAGGGCAATCCTCCTGCCTCATGTTTTGTTTTTGATTTCCATTTGTTGTAAATAGGTGTCTTTCAGTCCAACTTCCCCAAGTAGTTAAGGGTGGATATGAAAATAAAATACTTAGGAAAATCATAAAACAAAACTCTAAATTTTAAGTGAAGCACTGTTCATTTCATATCGTCTTGGTACACTGAAATGCTATAACCAGAGTCAAAACTTTTATGTGAAATTGAGGCCTTGGCAGTTGCCTCTGTACTCATTTTCTGCCTTACAGGGGGGCAGGACTAGTTGTGGAAGAATTATGCTTTCATTCTTATGTGTGGATTTAATGTTGAGTTTTTTGAGTACCTAAAGAAAAATAATGAACACTCAGACATATTATCGAAGGAATAGTAAAGTTATTGGCTTTTTCATTTTACCCTCATATCACAGTTGTTCTTACAGCATGACAAAAACCAGTCATGTTAAATACCTTTTGATATCTATCATTTTTTGATAGGTTTAAAATATATGGAGTTGGGGCTCAGCAAGAGTGCCTGCCAAGCATCCGGGAGGTGCTGTTCCATGTGCTCATGCGCGCACAGGCGCACAAAGGGTTTTTGTTTTGTTTTGTTTTTGAGACAGGGTCTTGCTGTGTAGCCCAGGCTGGCCTTGAACTTGCAGCGATCCTCCTGCCTCTGCATGCCTCCCGAGACCTGGGATTACAGGTGTGCACCACCACGTCCAGCAAGGCTTGGGATATTAAAGGGAGTTAGGGGAACGCTTTTGGTGGTAGGGGTAAATGATTTATGGGATAGGAAAGATTAGTATTGCTAAACAGAGAGGGACAGAAGATCTATGAGGTCGACTTACTGTGTTGTGGAAGTGATCATATTGTTCAAACACATTCCTCACTGTTAAAAGTATTTGTAATTAAATATTTCATCAGTAATGTATAATGTGGGTAGGATACACTTAATGAACTAAAAGTATCTCATTTTGCATTTAGCTCAGCAATATAGTTAATTGGGAAATTTATATGCAGTCATGATCAGTGTAATTTTAAAATTAAAAGCCATGGAAAAGCTGGCAAGGTGACACACCAGGAATCCAAGCACTCTGGGAGGCTGGGGCAGCAGGTTGCAAGGTGAGCTCTGCCTGGGCAATTTAATGACTAAGACCCTGCCTGCAAAAAAAAGAGTGGTGTGGGGTAGGGTCATTGCTCAGCGTGAAGGTCCTGGGTTCAAGCAAACAATAAAACATGGAAGGAGTAATTTTTAGAGCAAGTGTGTTATTATCCCTTTCTCATGCAGTTTCATTCACTGGTACCAAAATCTAAGTAGTTGCCATAAATCTCATTGCTGATTTTTTTTTTTTTTTTTTTTTTTTGGTACTGAGGATTGAACTCAGGATCTTGCGCTTGCGAGGCAGACGGCGGAGCAGAACCACTGAGCTAAATCCCTGACCCCAGTTTTTTTTCTTGGAACTGGGAATCAATGCTAGACTTCTTAATTTTGTTAGCATCTGTTTGTGATACATGATGAATGTATTCTTTGTGGCATGCTGGTACACAGATACTGCATCTTGGTCCTTTTTACTTTCTCTTTCTCTCCCTTCTCACCACCCCACCACCTTCCCCAGTAGTATCTTGGCAAAAAGTTAAATGCCTTGAAGAACACTCCAAAGCTGGAGTACAGTTTAAAAACAAACTCAGCTAACTAGAATTACACTATTACCATGTCTTTACTCAGAGTTCACATCACAGAATTTCACTGTAGCACAGATTTTAAGATTCTTTTGATATTTCATGGCCAAAATCAACTTCTCATGCCTGAACTTTGCTCTACAGCAAATATGTTACAGATATAGCAAAGTCATTAAGGTTATTCAGAGTTTTAGTTTTCAGTATCCTACACGTTTTATTGCTTTGCTTAATGTTTTAGTTCCCTTGCCCCTTTGGATAAACATTAAAACTTCATGTATCTTTTCATGATGATGTTATTAAAGTTAAAAACCTTTAAAAAATGATAACTTTAAATAATTTTTATTTTGATCTGAAAAGATCTTTTAAATTCATAGTCAAAAAACTTCTCTAGGTAATTAGAAAAACAATTACCACAGAAACCACTGCTAACAGGAAGCATGTTGGTGCTTCACTTTCTTTTTATAGCCAGAAATACAAAATTAACAGCTGTGCAAATATTTTATATAATAAATATATGTTGTCAAGCTTTTCCAAACACGCACCCTGGACTCTTCACCTATCCTCTAAACATAATTCAAAATCACTGTAACTGCTTAAGCTTCCATTTAGCAGAATATAACCCAGATACCAAAGGCAAAGGACTGTATTTTTTTCCAAAAAGTTTATGTTAAAATTCACAAAAAGCCCTCAAAAAAAAAGCCAACCTATGAAATGATGCCACTAAGGCCATGACGAGCTGGGAAGACAAGTTGCACAGTGTCTGTTCCCAAGGCTACTCACGAGGGCTAGCCTGGTGCTTGCAGAACAATTCATAATTGGTGACTGATGTTCTGACCACCAGTTGGTGAGTAAATGTCACTGGAGGATGGGCTTCTACAGGTGACAATAAATATTTCTATTAAAGTATTGTTGTAGAACCTTGTAATGGAAATGTGTTTTATACTCTTCCCCTGTCACATAGTTTTTTTTTGGGTACTAGGGATTGAACTCGGGTCCTTGCGCTTGCGCAGCAGGCGATGAAACCACTGAGCTAAATCCCTGGCCCAGTGCAGATTTTTTTTTGTTGTTGTTGTTACTGGGGATCCAACTCGGGTCCTTGCACTTGCGCAGCAGGCGGTGAAACCACTGTGCTAAATCCCCTGCTCACATTTCTGAACTGGCAGCATGCTACGAGCCCTACTACCGTCACAGCCAAAGATAACTTAAAGCAGACTGGCTCCATTCTTGCTTTATCACTTGCTCTGGCAAGACTGAGGCCTGTGAAATCCTAGCACTGAAACAGATCCAGAGTGTTGAACTCACTATGGGAATTTATCCTAAGAAAGGAAAACATCCAAAAAACTAACAACATGACATGCTTTTAGTGTACATAAGAAAACTGGGAAAACCTAAATGTCTAAAAACACGTATACCTCAATGGTATAGTGCTTGCCTAGCAAGCATGAGGCCTAGTTCTAATCCCAGCACCACAGGGGGAAAAAAACTGCACCATGGCAACTTAGGAGGGGGAAGCAGCAAGACAGCAAGTTGGAGGTCAGCGTGTGCAAAGTAATAAGCTCCCGCCTCCACAGTGTAATAATTATAATGATGACAATGATGTTACAAAGCTGTTGTAAGTGGAAATTGGTTGATAAAATGTTAAACATACACAGACACAATTGTCTGCACTATATTAATATTTAGGAAAATCTGTATCTTGATATAAGAATATGCTCTAATTAGTATTAAATTTACATGTATTAAACTTAAAGAATTTGGAGTAAAATCTGACAAGTGATTTGTTAGAAATGTTATCCAATTTTTTCATTTTTATTATTGTTACAATACATCTACAATTAGGGAAAAATAACAAATAGAAATTATAAAAACATAAAGATGAAGCCAGGTGTGGTGGCCTGTAATCTCAGCACTTGGGAGGCTGAGGCAGGAGACTCACTGTGAGTTCAGGGCCAGCCTAGGCTACATAGCAAGACCCTGTCTCAAAAAACCAAAAACAGGAAAATGAGATTGGAACTCAAATTCTTTTTTTTTTGGTACCAGAGATCAAACTCAGGACCTTGTGCTTGCGAGGCAGGTGTGGCACCACTGAGCTAAATCCTCAGTCCAGAACTCAAATTCTTGCGTAGGATGCTTAGTTAGCATGTATGCAAGATCGTACTCCCTTATCTTTGGAATTTGGTAAAACAAAATGTTGCAGTAAGTGTAAAGAACAACAGCATCATCATAAAATATATATAGTGAGTAAGTAAAATGTTTATAATTGGGAGGCAGATACATAAATTGAGCTGAAATGCTGCTCTAATTGTCACGATACCTCCCAAGAATAAATTGCCTTTTGATGACCGGGACGAATTGAGTGAAATCGTAACGGACAGATACGGGGCAGACAGTTTCTTTAGAATATTTAGATGCATCAAGTGAATGGAATTCTTTCCTAATTATAGCTTGGATTTGCTGTCTTTTTCCCTTTAGTTCTGCCTCTTTGCTGTTGAAGTCAACTTCATCATCAGAGACAAGCAGGGTTACACTACCTGAAAAGGTATATTCTAACAATTTTAAATTCTGACTGCACTAAATTATTATTATTATTATTATTATTATTTTTTTTTTTTTTTGGTACCAGGGATCAAACTCGGGTCCTTGGGCTTGCAAGGCAGGCAGCAGAACCACTGAGCTAAATCCCCGGCCCCTGCACTAAATTATTATAAAATATGATTTGTTTTTGTTGATAGAATAGTTTAATGAAATTCTATTTTCATATTTCCTAATTTTGTGCATTTTGTGTCATTTGTGTTTATACATTCTCCTTTGCTAAGTAGAAATATTGGAATTATTTAATTTTGCCAGTGAATATGTAATTTCATATAGTACTAACTTTATAGTTTAATAATCATGAATCTCTGGTGAAGAAAGCTTCAGAATCAACCATGATTATTAAGCTTTTAACATTACATGCCTGTTTTCAGGATACAGTAATGATGAGAGCTCCCAAAGAGAAAGATGAGGTAATTTCTAAGGAAGTGCCAGAATTTGAAGGGGAAGACTCTCCATTGTTGGATATTGCAAACACAGACAATAGTGTCTCTGGAGGATATCTGCCAGCCCAGAAAAGTGATCCATTCCAAAAAGAACAAGATCATCTGGTAGAAGAGGTTAGAAAAAGAAATAAGTATATTTAAATATCTTTTATTTTTCTCAGTGGTGTTGGTAAAAGTGAAATGCAGTCAGTTGTTGAATAACTGAGGTCATCTGTGAGGGGAGGGGTAAGAAGACACAGATAATAAAAATAATAGTTGAAGCAAAATCGGCCCTCCCAAAAAGTAAAAATAGATTTCATAAACTTATTTAGTTAAGATTACAATGGTTTAGAACTTACTTTTCATTCTAGAAAATGTGAGTATAAAAATAATTTATGTATGATATATTGGTAATTAACCTTTATATAAATTGTTAGGTAATGTACCCAATGAGTGTACTTACTAAAATACTTTGTCAGTGTTGCCTATTTCTTAGCTTCCTCTTTCTGAATATGAGAACAAAGAATAAACAGTGTTATATTACAACTGAGTGAAGGTTGTTTTTTTTTCCTAAATATTTCAAAAGTGATTTAAATGCATTGTCATTCACAAACTTGATTTTCTTAGCTCGACCTGTCCCTTGTTATTCTACTTTTCACTGGTGAGTGATCACAGAATACTGCTGTTGTTCAGTACTGTAGAACTCAGTTTATACAAACTGAGTATTCAAGCCATTCACTACTTTTATTTTACTAACATGTTTTTCATAACATACCTTAGCATTATTTTAATTTGGCTAAGTAACCAGAAAATAAAGCAGTTGCTTTTTATTCCTGAGTGACTTAAAGAAAAATTTGGTTTAGGGAATATTAATTCAGGTATTTCAGTTCTCTCCTTTATCCCAATCCTAATCAAACTGAGTATTGTCCAAATAAGAGAATTGGATGGCATTTTTCTTGTTTGTAACATAAGTGCCAGTTGCACATGCTCTGAATACTTTTAAATCTCTAAAGGAAAGATGGTCAGTTTTTTTTCTTACCTAATTGTGAATAAAAGGCCCATTTTATGGTTAATAGAATTTAGATTAGTGGTAGAATGGAATGGGATAGAGAAGCAAAGTCCTAAAATCTTGTAAAATGAAATTAATTTGAATTATGTTTACAATAAGAGATAGTTGGTGTTTTAATTCCAAGACCTTTGTTTTCTTGAGTAGTGTATTTTCAGGAAATTTAGTTTTTAGTGATCACAGGGATAGGAAATTTTAATTTGTATGATTCCCCCCCCCCCATATTTTAGCTAATAGAGTGCTATTCCATTTCTTTGTTTTGTTTTGTTTTTGTTTTTGAGACGGTCTGACTATGTATTTCAGGCTGGTCTTGAACTCACCGTTTAGCTTAGGCTGATCTCGAACTCACAGCAGTCCTGCCTCAGCCTCCCAAGTGGCATATGCCACCACATCTAGCTATTTTCATATAGTACATTTTCTTTTCTCTTATTTTAGAATGCATCCTAATTCCTTGTTTACTAATTTAGATCTGGTAATGAGGCTTCTGGCAAGGAAGTATGTTGTCAGAAGGTATTCTTTTTGTTGATAGAGATGTTACTTTGCAAATGCAGTATAAGAATCTGCTTGCTGTAGAGTAGCCATTTTAGTGGGTACAGAATGGTCAGACTGAAAGATGTGGCAGTTAGCAGCTTAGGTCATGGTGCAGTCAAACTGCCGTAAGTCTTCACAAGTATAAGGACTCTTCTCTGTTCTCTCCTTTATAATACCTTATCCATTTATTTATTTATTTTTGGTACAGGGGATCCAACTCACGTCCTTGCACTTGCACAGCAAGTGGCGAAACCACTGAGCTAAATCCCCGGCCCAGCTTAACCATTTATTAACCAAAAAATGGTTTTGTGTTCCATGTCGCTTTGCAGGATTGTATCTACATGATTCATTCAGAGTATTTGGGCAGTTCATTCTTGTCTTGTTTTAGTGCCATGTGCGGTAGGAGGTGCTGTTAACTGTGAACTGCTTATTGTTATCAGAGCTTCTGCTGTATTCCACCAGTGGGCTTGGTAATTTTTTGTTTTTTCTCTTCTGTTTTAGGTCACTAGGGCAGTCTTATCTGATTCACCACAGGTCTCTGAAGGAAAAGGAGTAAAATTAGTGGAACTAATTGACTCTGTAATTTCTAACCCCTTCTTATCAAGGAAACAGATTCCCCGAACTCCGGAAAGCTTGAGTAAGTTAATGCTTTCTATTCCATTTTCCCTGACTTACACATTACTGGTATTAGATACATGGTCTGGTAGATCTTTTGGAAACATATTTTAAAACTCTTTTCTGTATCTTTCAATTTATTGGCAATGGCTCTTTCTTCTGATTAAAGGGATCTTACGGAATTCAGGATGGGCACTCACAGAGCAGTCTTTCCTCAGTACTATATTTTGACTTTAGTGTACTTATACAAAAGTGTAAGTTCTACACTTGATCTTAGCCAAAAGGCCGAGAAGCGATAAAAGTGTAAGTTCTTATAACAATACAATTTTGTTTTTGGTGTGTTACTTTGGGCTTTTTTTCCTGGAAAATATTTTATTTGACCACATTTAAGAAATCTGCCTTTGGGCCGGGGATTTAGCTCAGTGGTTTTGTCACCTGCGATGCAAGCGCAAGGACCTGAGTTCGATTCCCAGTACAAAAAAAAAAAAAAAAGAAATCTGCCTTTGACCTGTGATCCACATTTAGAGTATGGAGGCGATACTCTCCTAGTTACCAACCTGAAGCATTAGCCAAAAACTGTGCACAGATCTTTACTCCTCCCGAAACAGAGTGCCAGATCATTTTTGAATCTCTAATTCGAGTAGGCCAGTTCTGATACTGGTTTCATTATGCAATCAATGCAGATTATCTTGGTTGAATGATTTAAGTATAATTTCTGTTTTGCTGCTGATTTAATTCAGGCTTAACTGAGCCACAATCTAGATTGGTGGTCAGCAAATGGCTGGCTGTGAACCAAATCTGCAATGTGTTTTTGTAAATAAAAGTGTATTGGACATGACCTTGCCTATCTGTTTACTTATTGTATAGCTTATTACATGCTACAATGGCAGAGTTGCACAGTTGTGATAGACTGTAAAACTAAAAATACTACTGTTTGGCCTTTTAACGAAAAAGTTTGCCAAGCTCTGGCCTCGACAGGCAAGAAAATGTCTTTAATACATATAGTTCATATGTTCTGTATAAAAGTATATACACATTTCAGGAATATTGTTTGTCTAGGTGCTGTGGTACATGCCTGTTGCCTTAGTTTTCTCGTTACTGAGACAAAATACCCAACACCCAAAGTTAAAGAGGAAGGGTTTCTTTTGGCTCACAGTTTGTAGAGGTTTCAGTCCATAATAAGCTGGCTCCAAGGCAGGGTGGCATGGCAGTGGGGGATCATAGAGGAGCAACAGTTCATGGTGGGCAGAAAGTAGCAAAGCAAGCAAGTGACAATAGCTTCTTTCTGTCCCTTTTCTGTTCTATCTAGGCAGCCCACCTTCTGCCCTTAGGATGGGTAGCACTCCCATCCAGAACAATGCCAGACCAATCAGTGGACTGATTTAGTAATCACACACCCTTGATCCTAGCACCACACACTCTAGATTTAGCCACTTCTGAAAAAGCCCCACCTATGACCGGCGGGGACCTTGGGGACATCCAGACACAACACCTATAACCGCAGCTCTTTGAGAGGTTGAGGCAGGAGAATCACAAGTTTGAGGCTAACTTGGGCAATGTAGTGACACCTAGTCTCAAAATGACAAAACAAATCCCTGAAAACAGGAACAGCTTTTGTTATGTGCTTACTTTGTATTTGACCAGTTGGAATTATGTTTTGGGATTTGTTCTATCAAGGAGGCTTGCCATCCAACCCGTATATTTTGGGAACATATATTGAGTCATTAGTTTTTTAGCACAAGAAATAAAATGTTTAATTTCATTCTCTGTTTTGGGAATATTAGTAAATTGTGGGTTATTTTCCTCCTTTAATTAGTAACTGAAATTAGGAGCTCATGGAGAAAGGCTATAGAAATGGAAGATGTCAGAAGTACAGAACCAGTTCACATGGATACTGATCATGGAGAAATATTGCCTGAATCCTTGCCTGTGTTGCACAATCGAGAATTTAGCATGGCCAGTTTTTTCTCGGATTTTGACCAGTCGTATTTGCCTGAAGAGAAAATTGTTTTGGACTGTCTGGAGGATGTGCCTCAGAAGCATGTGGTGACCAGTCATACAGGTAAACCTCCAACAGAAGATAAGTCAAATTTGTTAAATAAGAAAATAATATGTAAGCAAGATTTAGAATGTAAAACTTTACTGACCACGCTATCAGAAACCAGCCCAATAGAGGCATTCTCTCCTTCTGTACACAATAGGACCGATGTGATGATGGATAGGAGTAAAGGTAAGTATATTAAAACATCGGACCACTCACAAACTTATAATGAAACTTCCATGCATAAAACTGTGTTATGGGACTCTTTTCCAACATTGAGTGGAATTAGTTCTAAGAGTCTTAATATGGATTTTGGCATATTACATGAAACTCTTCCAGAAGAAGTTGGTCACCTAAGTCTTAATAGCTCTAGTAGTTCTGAGACTAATTTTAAACTGGAATCAAATAGCTCTGTGCACAGTGGCTTTTTTCTGGATGATGTTATGGAAGAAAGACAGACTGCTCCAGAATCAGAGTTCAGTTTACAGGCTATTCACAATAGTTATGAGGCTCTAAAGAAATCTCTTTCCAAGACAAGGGGAGAATCTCACCTCTCTAACTTTGAAACACTTGAAAGACACAAACCAGAAGTAAGTCCTACATCCAGAAACTTGCAAGCAGACAATATGCTTCACTTTTTGGACACTGATGATTTGCTCATTGACTATGCAAAGGCATCTTTACGCATGTCCCTTGGTGAAAGAAAACGGTCCCTGTCACCATTAATTAAATTTTCTCCAGTGGAGCAAAAATTGAGGACCCCAGTACCGTGTAGCCTTGGAGAACCATGTAGTCTTGGAGAACTTCGGCCTAATTTAAAAGGTAAGATTTAACTAGGTATGTGCATATTTACCTTTTGAAGTTTTCTCTAAACCTTCATAAAAATAGTACACAGTGAATGCTGCATAATACTGGCTGTTAATGTGACAAAATGTGCTTTACATTATGCTTTTTTTTTTTTTGATACTGGGGATCAAACTCGGTCGGGTCCTTGCGCTTGCGCAGCAGATGGCGAAACCACTGAGCTAAATCCCCGGCCCTATGCTTTTTTTAAATGCCTTTATCTACAGTGAAAACCCTCACTATATGGGTACTTTCAGAATCTACTGATGTGTAGTTGTTTACAACTGGTTTGGAGCAGGGTGTAAAAAAGGTTTTTCTTTTTTGAAATTTACTGCTTTTGTAATATAAACCACTGACTAAATCTCATCGCAATGTTTATCTAATGGAAAATGACTTAAAAAGTTGTGAAACACTTTTAAATATCACTGTTGTAAGCTGGGTGTGGTGGCACATGCCTGTAATCCCAGCATTCAGGAGGCTGAGGCAGGCAGATCACCCTGAGTTTTGATTCTAGCCTGGACTGCATAATGAGTTCAAGGCCACCCTGCATTACAAAGTGAGACCCTGTCTCAAAAAAACAAAACAAAAATTATTGTTGTAGGGTCTGGGATTTAGTGCAGTGGCACTGCTCCTGCCTTGTAAGCACAAGGTCCTGAGTTTGATCCCGGTGCCGCCAAAAAAAAAAATCAAATCACTTTTGTAATGGTGTAATATATGAAGTTCCGTGGTGAATTTGGTGGTGGGAATGGGGAATAGAAACAAAACAAGGTTGCTTTAGTATTCTAGGGCTGTAACAAAGCACCCCAAACTGGGTGGCTTGAAATTTATTGTCTCTGGAGACATTAACTTCTAGAGGATAGAAGTCCAAAATTCTTGTGTTTTCTCCAAAGCCATTAGTGGAGGATCCTTCCTTATTTTCTCCCAGTGTTTGCTTACCCTAGGTGTTCCTTGACCTGTGGCATCATAACTCCAATCTTTGCCTGTCTTCACATGACTTTCTTCTCTTTTGTGCCTGTCTCCTTACAAGGAAACTAGTTATATTATAGGGCCTACCTTATTCCAATATGACCTTATTTATAGCTAACTATATCTGTAATGACTGTCTTTCCAATTAAGGCTATATTCTGAGTTACGAGGTTAGAATTTCAACAAACTTTTTTGAGGGACACAAATCAACCCATAATTATTAGTATTAGTAATTGAAGCCATATATTAGCTATATTGGATTAATTATAATTCTATTCACTTTGTGTGTTTGAAAATTTTCATCATAATGAGTTAATTGCTCTTATCAAGTGTTAGGACAGATTTAGAGTCAGTAATACACTCATTACATATCATTCAATTTTTTTGTTTGTTTTTTTTTGGTACTGGGGATCGAACTCGGGTCCTTGCGCTTGCGCAGTAGGCGGCAAAACCACTGAGCTAAATCATATATTTCATATATTTCAATTTACCTGTGATAAACACTGGCATTTTGAAAAGTATTCTAGGAAGAACCTGTTACTCTCTGGAGAAAGGTACTTCATTGAGAAAAATGGTAATTGTACCATAGTTTGAGTATTTCTATAAGTGTGAGCCTTTTCAAATTAAGGAATTTGCTTCTAATCGGAATCTTTATGTATATTTTTTTGTAATGTTTGCTTATCCCTTTCTTTTTTAAATCAATTTTACAGAAGAAATCTTGAATAAGAGCCTTGATGCAAAGGAATCTGACTCGACAAGCTGATGCAGTTCCTGGTTAATTTATCTATGATGCACTTAAATTGAAGCTGTGTTGCAGACTAGAAACTGATTTATAACTTAAATACATGTTGGAAGTGTAACACTATTTTTCAAAGATGTATTAAGATCCTAAATACCCTTTAGCCTCTTGTAATGCTTTTAAATAAGGAAAATATGTTTGGATTTTTTTCTTTTTTTTTTTGATTTTTTTCTTTGTAGAGATAGGAAGTTGAAATGTGAAGTCTTTGGAAAGCAAATGTCAAGTTATGGGATGCCATTTTGTTATCTTGAATAATCTTGTAAGCCTTAAGTAAATAAAAAAGTAGTTTAATTTGTTATAATTTTAGTTTATTACCATAAAGATGAGTTGCTTTTGATGTACTTTCACTAAGTGATGTTTTTGGGGGAGGACTAGGGTGCCATTTTTGGGAAAACAACTAGTTTCAATTTGTGGTACTTTACTGCTCAAACACCATTAAAGTTTTCAAGTGCCTACAGAAAGGTTTGAAAATATCTTGTGAGAACTGAATTTGGGTTTAAGTAACTTACAACATTTATAGTTGTTTGCCTCACTCTTTAGGCTCAGAAATGGGTTTGTCTCTGGTATGCAAATGAACAATATATGTCATCGCCTCTGTGAGCCAGGAGGAATGGAACAGGCACTGGAGGGTGATCACCTTCAGTGTCCTCTAGAGCTTCAATTTGTTGGTTTATGGTTCACCCCGTTTTTTATTTTTATTATTATTATTATTATTATTATTTTGGTTCCAGGGATCAAACTCAGGACCTTGTGCTTGTGAGGCAGGTGGCAGTGCCACTGACCTAATTCCCCGGCCCCTAGAGCTTCAGTTTGTAACCATTAAAATCTTGTTCTCTAACCCCTACGAGAGAAGTTGGAGGGAAGAATTTTGAAAGTAGATTGGCTTAATCATCTCTCTTCACTTGGACTGCCTTTCCTCTCTTTAAGTTGCTTGTTGTGTCCCAGTTTGAAAACCAGTCTTTTTGGGAGAAAAGGCAGAAGAAAACACATATAAAAGTAACTTCTTTGCAGTGGAAAAGAAAAGAAACAAAAAGCTTCTAAGGTTCTGTGTTAGTATTTTATCACTGTGGCAAAATACCTGAGAAAAACAAATTAGAGGAGGAAACACTTATTTTGGTTCATGATTTCAGAGGTTTCAGTCCATGGCAAGCTGGTTCCATTGCTGTGGGCCTGACGTGAGGCAGAACATCGTGGTAGAAGGGCATGATAGACCAAAGCTCCTCACTTTATGGCAGCCAGGAAGAAGAGAAAGGGGAAAAGTCAGAGAGGAAGGGGCTGGGGTCCAGATACAGTCCCCAAGGTCCTGCCCTTATGAGGCACTCCTTTCCATTAGGCCCCACCTTCTGTTTCTTTTATCCCTTAATGCCATCAGATTATGATCTCATCAGTGGATTAAGCCACTTGGTGAAGTTAGAGCCCTCATGATCCAGCCATTTCTCAAAAGCACATCAGCTGGCAACCAAGCCATATACATTTGGGGAACATTTCAAAGCTAAACCATAACAGATGCCATGTTCCTTTATTAATCAACACAAATTAAGGACTTTGCAGGTCTAATTGGTAAATCATTCTCTAGTCTGCTGTTTTTTTTTTGTTTTTTTTTTTGGTACCGGGGATCAAACTTGGGTCCTTGCGCTTGCGGGGTAGGTGTCAGAACCACTGAGCTAAGTTCCCAGCCCCTCTAGTCTGCTTTAAGAAAACTCAGTATCTATAAATCCTAAATAAGTATGTTTTGGAGGAGGTAGGGCTATCATATTAGGATCTGCAAAGTGCCAGGGCTACTGCTAGATACTTCGTACATATAAATTCATTCTATTATTATAACTGTTAAGGCGGTACTTACGGTACAGTAAGTAAGTTTTCCTGAAGTCAGGAAACTTAAATGACTTGCTTTAGGGGAGTGTTGCTCAGTGGTAATGTTCCTGGGTTTGATGCCCAGTACTGGAGAAAGAAATCTATGAACACTGCATGTATAAAAATCACACTGAGGGCCAGGGATTTAGCTCAATGGTTTCGCTGCCTGCTGTGCAAGTGCAAGGACCTGAGTTCGATCCCTGGTACCAAAAAAAAAAAAAAAATCACAGTTTTACCTGTGATAGGCTGAAAGTCTGATGTTCTTTTTTGTTCTTCCTGTGCAGAACCATAAACAGTCTTAAGTCTGTTGCCCTTTTACAACCACTGATTCAGTTTGTTACTTTCCACCTCTTCGCTAGTCAGTATCTCCTGCACAGTTGCTTCTTTTTTTTGGTACTGGGAATCAAACTCAGGACCTTGCCCTTGCAAGACAGGTGCGGTGCCACTGAGCTAAATCCCTGGGCCTTGCACAGTTGCTTTTTAACCGTAAGGAACTGCTTTGACATGTCACTTCCTTGCTTAGAAACATCAATGGCTCATTGCTAATCTAGAAGAGTTCAAATACAAAGGAATATAAAATCTCTTCTGTTGATTTCCTCTATTTGCCCTCTTCCACTCTGATGTCCCAGTTTTTACTGATTTTTTTTTTTTTTTTTTTTGAGACAGGGTCTCACTTTTGTAGTTCAGGCTGGCCTCAAACTTGTGGCAATCTTCCTGCCTCTGCTTCCTGAGTGCTGGCATTACAGGCATGTCCCACCACTCCTGGCCTCTGAAATGTTTAATTGAATACAGGTCTTTAGAAATCTTTTTTTTTTTGGTACCAGGGATCGAACTCAGGTCCTTGCGCTTGCGCAGCAGACGGCGAAACCACTGAGCTAAATCCCAGGCCCTAGAAATCTTGATTCACAATTCTGAAGTTTGAGTACCTTATTTTGCTCTTCAAGTTTGTCAAAAGTATATAACTCTAAGGGTCAGGAAAAAAAATTGCATTTCTACCTTGAAGTCTTAATTTGACCTTTTCCATATTCATGTGCCTATTCCCTGAAATCTAATTTTTCTTTTATTCATTTTGTATTTCATTAATTGCTTTCATTATTTTTTCATGGTTTTATCTGATTTCTTGTTATACTTATTTGCAGTACTGGGGTTGAACCCAGGGAGTGCTGAGCTATATCCTCAGGTTCCTCCCCACGTCCGCCCCCCCCCCCCCCCCTTTTATGGTACTGGGGATCAAACTCAGGTCCTTGTGCTTGCGAGGCAGGCGGCAGAACCACTGAGCTAAATCCCTGGCCCTCCCACCCCCTTTTGAGATAGGGAGGGCCTCACTACATAGCCCAGGCTGGCCTTGAATTAGTGATCTTCCTGGCTCAGGCTCCTGAGTGCTGAAATTACAGGCATGCACCACCATGCCTGGCCCCCAACCCTTTTCTTTTGAGACAAATTTTCACTAAATGGCCTTGAACTTGCAATCCTGCTTCAGCCTCAGGAGTAGCTGGGATTACAGATGTGCTCCATGTCTGGCCTGTTGTTACACCAGTTACATACATACACACATACCTATGTAGATATGTGTAGAGTATGTATATGCACCCACATGCATACATATACCCCAATACCACGTGTCATTAGTAAATATTTAGATATCAGAATTTTGTTTCCCCCTACACAATGGTAAAGAGGGCTTATGGGTATAGATATATTTTTTTCTCATCCATGTCAGATTACCTAGAAGGTACCCTGCTTTCACTGTAAGATTTAAAGGTGTATATGCTGACTTCTACATCAAGTAGATAACACCAACATGTCCTAATTATTATTTTCGTGATGCAGGGGATTGAACCCAGGGCCTCACAAATGCTGAACACATATTCTCAACAATGAGCTACACCCTTATCGCTATTTATTTTAAATGTTTAAGGGGGATAAACAGTAATGTTGAACATGAAAAATGTTATCAGGTAGAATAAGGAATAATGAGGTAGGATTAGGAATAATTCAAGTTACAGAAAAACATCTGGGGAGAATTTATAGAAAACAAAAATATTGACAGGTATTTTGAAATCTTTTCTTTGCCATTATGTTTCTTAGCCATAAATTATGATGAAGTCAGTACATTATCTACAGGAAAAACAGGAATTCTTGAGACCTTTATTAAGGTAAAGCAAACTCTAGCTGAGGATGTAGCTCAATGCTATAGCACCTGCTTAGCATGTTCAAGGCCCTGGGTTTAATCCTCAGTATCAAAAAAAACCCAACTAAAACCAAAAAAACCTCACAAAACAAACTGCATCTTTTCCCTTTTCTGAGTATACTAAACATAGGTGTTAAGGACACTTAAGTATTTATTAAAACAAAATTTCTCTTGGATAAAGTTCAGATAGTAGCTTTAAAGATCACCTTTTTCCTTGTGCACCGTGAATTGGCACCTTGTTTAAAACAGTTGCAAGTGCTGTAAAGACTATTTTAAATATTCTTGACATATTGTCTTGAGTAAATATTCAGTATTATACCATCTGTCTCTGGACTTTCCTACATCAGAAAGAACTGTACCTTGCAAGCCATAAAATGATCATACAAAGTTATAACAACTGATCAAAATAAATTTGAGAAGTTCAGGTAAGGGTATTTGTTGTTATTCCCATTTGAACTACTAGATTTGCCACATGCAGCATTTATAAAATTGTATCTATGCTATAAGTTTTTATCATCTGGAGATTGCCAGTGGCCATACTTAGATGATTTTTATACTTTACATCTTAAAAGCTTGCTCTTCATGGGTAGAGATCCTGTTATCACATATGGTGCTAGTGAGGATTTAATAAATGTTAAATTTGTAAGGCCTCAGAAACTCTACAGACTTACCATTTATATTTATTCTTTCTACAAAAATACTGCTTCATCTGTAAAACAAGTTGGTCAGAGGTCTCTTGGCTTTAAAATACTTAAGATTCACTTAAACCAACCTATAAAACAGCTATTACTAGAACTGGAATGGTACATCTTCGGTTTGTTTCCTAATTTCAGTTGTACCACATTGGCAATACCAAATTAGCTACCTCAGAATTGTTTCCTGAAAGTAGGTAATCTAAAATAATCTGTTCAGTGTCACCAATTTCCAGATTATATGAACGGGAAAGTGGTCTTGCCCAAAGTGAGCAAACACTGTTCCTTGAAAAGACTTATTTAACTTTCTGGGTTAACTTCTTCAGTTATGTGAAATTGGAATTATATGAGGGAATAATCTACATCTTAAAAAGTAGTATTTTTGATTAACTTTTCTTCAGTGGAAGGTATAGTGGGGTGTAGTGGTTAGGCGGGGGAGTTTAGTCAGATTCCCTTGATTTATCTATTACAACAGATAAAAGGATAAAGATAAATGCACACTAAGTACTTAAGAATACCTGGCTTTATTTATTTTTGAGACAGGCTCTCACTCTGTAGCCCAGGCTGGCCTCATACTTGCAGTTCTCCCACCTCAGCCTCCCCCAAGTGCTGGGATTAAAACATATACCACTACTCCTAGCTAATACCTGGCGCTTAGAAGGGCTCAAATACATATTTAAGTAGGGCCAGGCATAAGGATTGCTGCAAGTTTGAGGCCTGTCTG